CCCAAAATCCAGGAATAGGAGTGAAGTACAGGAGAAAGCACGTGGGTGTGCAGGCGTGGTGCGCAGATGCGATAACACAGCTGGAGCAAACATTAACACCGTGCGCACTGTGTAAGGGCCTGAGCCACACTGAGGCCACCACCACGAGTGCACAACGGGCTGGCTGCCACACCGCCACCCGCGACGACCGCCGCCACCACCACCACCACGGACTCTCCTCCACCACCACTCGTACCTCACCCGCCGCCGCCGCCGCCGACACCGACCCTGCCTGCCTGCCTCAGTGTGGACTCAACAAACCTACCTTGTTGTTACTGACTTGGACTACCTCATCCACATAGTCAAACACATCATACCCTTTTATACACCACAATCCACTGCCTTTACTCCCCTGCCATTTTAAAGTCCCTCCATTTAAAATATATATTTATTTCTACTCATATTTACTGAACAAACATATAAAACTATCCTGAGATAAGTGTTTCAGAGAGCCAGCCATGACGACCTTCAGCCGCAAGTGTCTTCCGTCCTCACGACCCCCAACCCCGTCCCTCCCCCCTGTCCCCCCCTCCCCCCCTCATCCTCCCTCCGCGCGCGCACACACCAGAGTTCCCGTTTTCCTTTACAACTCTGAAATGTCGCCAGCGGCACTCACTCTCACTGACTCTGTGTGTGTGTGTGTGTGTGTGTATAATGATATCCTTCATCTATGATAAAAAATAATACGAACGCCATATTACACACACACACACACACTGTACAGGTAGTTTGAGCTTTTCCCCATCTGGTTATTATATGTCTTATTTGTGTCACTTATGTTACTTGTATATTATTTGTAATTCGAAATCCATTCCCCAAATATGTAACTGTATATTTTCAGCCTTCTGGCTGCCAAGCTCTTTCAATAAACCGTTAATTATTATTATTATTATTTATTATTACACCTGTACCTGACTGTTCTGTTGCCTGATTACAGTGAGTGAGTGTGTGTGTGTGTGTGTGTGTGTGTGTGTGTGTGTGGGGGGGGGGTTTACCTGACTGTTACCTGTACAGTACTTGACCCTCCCTCACAACGAACACCAAACTCCCAGGAAACACTTAACACACGGAATCCTAATCTAAATTCAGTATATTCTATTCCTTTGTCACACACCTCTCTCGATGCTGTGATGAAAACTTGCCTAAGACTTTAATTAATTCAGAATACGATAAAATTCATCACCTTTCCTCCAGTCTGAGATTAGAAGAAAAAAAACTGACTTAACTCGGGTTTCCATAATGATTCGTTCCCGTGTGTATTTGTATGATAATTCTCTGACACGTTGAAGATTTTAATACACCCGGTGATAATTTGACACACGGGGGTATTTATTCATCTTATCAATCATGTTTGTCTATCAGTCGGTGGTGTGTTGATCTTGTCAGGAGGGACGGCTGAGGGCTCTGAGGTATAGTACCGTATGAATCCAGGTCCAATTTCCACCTTTCCATCCCTCCACACGGCTCCACATTCACCACCACCCCTCCACATCCACCACCCATTATCCCACCACACCTGTCACCACATCCACCATCACCCCTCCACATCCATCATCTACTATCCCACGACCCCTCCTCCACATCCATTATCCCACCTCCTCCAGCACCCATTATTCCATCACGCCTGCCACCACCTCCTCCACGCGCCACCACCTCCAACACGCCTGCCACCACCCCTCCTACACGCCTGCCACCACACCCCTCCTCCTCCACGCCTGCCACCACCCCTCCTCCACGCCTGCCACCATCTCCTCCTCCACATCCATTATCCCACCTCCCCTCCTCAACCATTACCCACTATCCCACCACCTATCCACATCCAGCACCCCTCTAGCCCCGACCTGCCACGTAGCGCCGTCAGTCACGACCCAAAACCAACAATCCAGAGAAACAAAAGACCATTTTTGTTCATGGCTGAGCAGATGTGTGTGTGTGTGTGTGTGTGTGTGTGTGTGTGTGTGTGTGTGACGAACTGCTAAAACGAGAGGCGCCCACTGCCGGCCACGTTGAGATGGAGGAGGCGAGAAGAGGGTGAAAGAAAGGAAAAAGAAGGGTGGAAAGAGGAAAGGAGAGGAGGAAGGGGGAGAAAGGAAGAGGAGAGAGAGGGAGAGGACGGGAAGGGAGGGAGGAGACGGGAAGGGACGGAGGGGAAAGAGAAGGAAGGAGAGAAAAGGGATAGAGGGAAAGGAGAGAAGGAAGAGGAAGAGAGGAAAGGAAGAAGACGGAAGAGAAAGACGGGAGAAGCAAGAGAAGGGAAGGAAGATAGCAGACGGACGGGAAATAGGATGAATGAGGGAAGGAAAAGGAAGAGATGAATGGAATAAGACGAAATGAAAGAGCAAGAAAAGGAACGAAAGAAGGAGGAAAGGGAGGGAGAAAAGAAGGCCAGGGAGAAGTGGAGGGAGAGGAAGAAGGGAGGGGGGAGGAGTTAAAGAGACGCTTGAGCAGGAGAAGGTGGAGGGAGGGAAGAAAAAGAGGAAGGGGAGATATAAGAGGAGACGATACAAGGGGAGGAAGAAGAAATGATTAAGGAGAGATGGGGGGGGGGGTGGAGATCCAGGAGGAGGAGGAGGAGTCAGGACGGGAAGGATGAGAAGCATTTTTACGAGCAATTCAATAAATCGCAAACAAATTACACTGAGTCCTTCTCTCCCCCCCTCCCTCCCCGGACCGAGCCCCTCCCAGTGTCTATCCTCTCCTTCCCTCCTCTTACGACCATACCCACTTTCTCTCCTCCTCGCGTCCCTCCCATCTCTTCCTCCCTGCGTTCCATCCCTTCCTTCTTCCTCGAGTCTCTCCCCTGCCTTCCCTTCCCTTTCCCTGCGTCCTTCCCCCTTCCCAGCGTCCCATCCCTTCCTTCTTCCCCGCGTCCCTTCGCCCTTCCCCCCCTCCTGCGTCCATCACATCCCCTCCTCCCTGCGTCCCTCCCCTCATTTCTTCTTTCCCGCGTCCCTCCTCCTCTCCCCGGGCCGAGGCGGAGATACAGCTCGCCTCCTCACTCAAAGAACGAAAGAAAAAAAAATCCATGTTGAGCACAAACGGCGATCTACAATAATACCCTTGAGCGGGAAGACTGCCATGGGAACAGCCATTCCTAGACGATAATTCTCCCAACGACGACAATCAGAAGAGACCATAAAACGCCAGATTGGGCAATAACTGTCCCGGTTTATGGAGTAGCAGTGGTTGTGCTAATGCGATAGTGCCGCACCACCAAGCAACCGTTCACCACCGTGCTCACTAAAACTTGACTTAGGTGATGGTCGAGGATCACTTACCAATGTGTACTTCATCCTCCATCAAGTGTGGGGAGAGAGAGAGAGAGTGATGGAGTTAACAGTAGCCAACACACCACTACCCATCACAAGTGTAGGCCAAGACACGTGCAGGTAGTGGTTAGATACGGACATCAATAATAACAAAACACACACACAAAACAATACTCCTGCAAAGCCCTAACATGACGGTACACCATAGCTACACCACAGACAAGACTTGAAAGGCCTCCTAACCACAACACGTTCTCACGGTCAAGCCACCGCCACTACCACCTTCTCCTCCTCCTGCCTTCAGGGTGAGTTGGTAAAAAAAGGAAGTTCAATTTGTGGGTTCGAAAGTTTCCTGTGAGACTATCTTATTATATTTACCTCTCACCTACTCCTGTCAATATTAATCTTACCATCTTCTCTATATATCTATCTAACTATGTTAATTCTCTCTAACTCCTGTCAATATTCTCTACCCCCTCTTTCTCTCTCTTCTGTGTGGGGTAGAACAGGAGGTAAAGAAACGTCAAGGAAAGGGAGGAATAAGAAGGGTCCGTAAAATTGGTATACAGGGCAAGAGATAAGCTCCTGACATAGAGCCTCACGTAACAGACGCGCTGGACAGGTACAAAGTGAATCCTCAACACATGTGTAAATAACGTCCTTTAGTAAATGAATACAAAAAATATGTAAAAAGTGTAAACATTCTCACTGTTCCTGCAACTTTGTGAAAAAAAAATGGCCATAAATATTTACGACCGCCAGTGTTTCACGTGTCTGTATGACATTTGCATTTTTTTTTACCAGTTTTAACACGGACTAGATTCAAGACTACGATTTTGTATTGAACTATGAAAAAAAATTGTAATTACATGAATAATTCAACAATGCAACTAGTGTTTTAATTCCGGGCGAAGGTCACAATGCAGTATTTTTGGGCGATCCAATATTTTCTGGTAAATCTTTTTTTTTTCTGTCATCGCAGTTCAACTCACACCAGTGGAGACACATAAAATATGATACAACATGGGAGAGAGAGACATAAATTAAAGATTTAGCTCAGTCGCCCTGTCTCTGATGCTTTCCGACGCCCCACCGTTTTCTTACACCTGAGGGAGTGCGGCCTACACCCACCAGAGGGCTCAAGGGATTGTTCTATTTATCCCTAGAGTGGCCACTACACTGCACACAGGAACCTAACTCAAAGTTTATTTACTGTTAATCCGTCCAACTAAACACGACGACACTCTGGTCATAGCAGAAAACACTGACAATGTTTAGAGTTTACGCACAATAATCGTTACTTTATTAACCAACACCTCGTATTTCCAGTTCCCTTTACAGGCTACGGAGGGAGGGAAGGGGGTGATGAGCCCCCAAATCAACACCAGGTAATCTTATCAGTGAACTCTCCATGGCGGGCGGTTTCAATTCGGTACCCCTGACTGCTTTTCTAGATATAAGAGACAAAAACCACCTCCTAGACATGAAAACTCTGTGGATTCACCTGAAAAACACACCACGAACCCAGGAGACACTGTGTCGAGGCCTTAACAAGAGAGACAGAGTGTACGCATTTCAGTATAATCACCGTTTACATACACCTGAAGATACGAACCATCCTCGACAACACCCACGTCAGGTTAGTGAGAGACAGGATCGACTCCACATGCTACAGTAGTCCTCGAGACCTACCTTGTTGTTGTTGATCTTGGGCGGAGGCGGTTTCTTCTTGGCGGGGTCGGGTTTAACTCTGTCCGGGAAGGGGTCGAGCTTGCGTGTTCCAGCCTTCTCCGACGCCCGCACGCACCGCTGGGAAAAAAAAAAAGAACATTACATACATTAGTACCGACATTATTCCCCATTAGGCCAACCACACATCACAAAGACGTCATACACGAACATAAACTTATCATTAACATAAGATTAGTTACCTCCAAAAATACATAAATTGACTTAATACTCATACATGTTCATAAATTACCTGCATTACATCTGACAACATATTCTCTCCAGTGCAAAAATCAAGGAGTAGGAATGTCACTGTCTATAGCCGAGGCATAATTTTCTGCCAAGGATATATACTCACACACCAGCCGTAAAGATCCACAACCACAACCATTTTCTGGTGATGACTGTACTTATGACGCCGTCTCTCTCTCTCTCTCTCTCTCTCTCTCTACACACACACACACATAAACTGTTTCACTCTCTGCAACAAAGGATCAGCTCCGACACATCCAGATAATCCTGAATAAGTGGAATCGGGAGTAACATCATGGAGGATTCCGCTGTATATATTTTTACAAAAGACGGCCATCAATTCTCGCGAGGCCGACGAGATCAAGCTGGTCGTAAAGCCTCCGGGAGTGGATTAGTAAGCACTCAGGCGTCACTCGGCAACAGCGACATGCGGTTTGGGAGACCCATCGCTTCTAGTTTCGACACAGCGGCATTCGCATGTAAATATTTCCTACGACACGACCCACTCAGCCATTGTTAACGTGGACGACACACGCCACTAAGCACACGCCCGCCTCGACCCTACACAATTTTCCGAGAGGTAAATCTCCCCTTGCTCAGAGAACCAACACATCCCGGGGAGAGATGTGAGTTGCAAGATTGACAATCCAGAAACAATTGCCTCACAGTACGGAGGAAAAATACCTGAAAGCATTTGTCAACGATGCTACACAATTTCCTGCAGCAAATCTACCTAACTGGAGCCTGAAAGGTGACGTTACTGAAACAATTATAACGTTGAACGAGAAACAACGCCAATAGTCTCCTACATGACAGAATTTTCCCAAGTAAAAATTATCCGCTATCAGAATTGAGACAGGTAGCAGGGAAGGAACACTTTAACAGGGTGATGACACACACACACACACACACACACACACACACACACACACACACACACACACACACACACACACACACACACACACACACACACACACACACACACACACACACACAACTGTACAGCCCTGTAAATGTATTCAACGCATATCATTATGTCTAGATCAAATGTAAGTTTGTATATTTTCAGACACCGGCTGTAACTCTATTAATAAACCGTTTATTATTTTATTATTATTATTACACACACTCAGAAATAAAAGAGGGAAAAAATATGCTGCCGGCCCTAACACTGCAACAATCTTTTAGCACACACTTTTATAATCCATCACATTACCGAGACAACAAGTGGTAATTTTCCTCACAAATAAGAGAGAGAAAATTACCACCAATTTTGAGGACAATTCCATTAACCTTTTTGAGTCTCCATCTCGATAACTATCCAAGCGACAAAAAAAAAAAGAATTACGACACGCCGACCAGACTTAACGGTGAGAAAGTGGTCAACCGCAAGTGGTGATAAAACATGTTCACGACTCGTCAAAAGGGTCGTTCAAATGCCCCACCTTAAGTAATTCTTCAAGATTCTAATGGCGTTTAGTGTTATGGGTCAATAAAATATATATTTGAGAGCGGGACTGTTGTGATGATGGCGACGTGTACCTCCGCCATAAACGGGTACAGTATTTATCCCCGAAGAATCTGGCATCCATTATTTGTTCCCGGATACAGGTATTACAACATTAAATAAGCGTATAAATGGATGGTTGAGCGTGTGTTATTCCTTCCTCCCTTTGTGTGCGTGTGTGTGTGTGTGTGTGTGTGCCTTTACATCTTTCAGTTTGTCAGTGTGTTTATTTTCCTATTTGTTTATCCATTTAACGCATATATCTGTAATACACTGCGTTCATCTCTCTCTCTCTCTCTCTCTCTCTCTCTCTCTCAACTTGGCCAGCGTCCGACCACCTCTCCCGCGTACCCTTATCTCCACAGAGCGTCAGCGGCACAAACGGAGGATGATTTAACATTTCCAGTGAATAGGAATAATTAGCAGAGCAAACACCTGACAGCGGGTGTCTCGTTACTGCCAACAACTCCAGCTAACCTCCCGTTCACTGGTCCAGTCCGTCACAATGCAGCGCTCAAGTGTAAAAGTGTAATGTTTTTTTTTTGTTTTTTTTTAGGGGTGGGGTTGGGGTGCGGGGTGGGGTGGGGTGGGGTGGTGGGGGTGCGGTGGGGGTGCGGTGGGGTGGGGTGCAGCAGCTTGTCTTTCGTGTGAGTGGAATTAGCACCGAGTCTTTCGTTTCTTCGTGTATAAATGACGTGGTGGTGCAATTGTCTGTACACACTTATTTGGGGGTATTGTTTATGTAACCGATTGTTTTAAAATCTCTGCACTACACTATACTTGTATCGGAACATGATGTGTACATACTTTATGAGTATACTGTTAACGTCATACATCGCCTTGAAATCTCTGTCCTTGAAGCTGTACGTGACTTCAAGGACAGTGATTATGAATGCAGTTCCAACCACATCACCTCCTTGAGTAAACGAAGATTAGTATTCAGTATGCTATATCCGCCCCGCCCCTTACGTCTCCTCGAGGCTGCAAGACCCACTTTCACTTATCATGGCTTAAATGGACCGAGCGCCCTACCCCTTACCCTACACACTCTTCCCATTAAATGTATCGGAACTGACTTGTGTGAGGAGGAGGAGGAGGTAGACAGCAGCGGCTTTGATCACACGTCTTGGTTGGATGTCTTGGGTCACACGGCTCACCAGTCTCCTGTCAATACCTCTCACCTCACCCCTCTCTCACCGCTCCATTCCCTTTCACTCCTCTTCCTCTTACTTTCTTTCCACTCTCTCTCACTCCTCCTCCACCTCCTTTCACGTTCTTTCAATACTCTCACCCTACCCGCTTTCATTCTTCCTCCACCTCCTCCTTTCATCTGTTTTCATTACACTCACCCCACTTTCTCTCTTCGTCCTCCTTTCCTTCTCACTATTAATCTATATACCTTCTCTTCCATCTTCCATTCTCTTCTTAGACAACTATCCTCATCCCTATCCTCTTACCGTCACAGTCTTCCCGTCAGGTATCCACACGTCCCTCATCACGTTTCCTCCCGCACCTCCCTGTTACTGTCTACACACCGATTTATCTCCCTGGTGGCCCGGCCGATTTACTTTCCCCCGGTCGAGGTTCTCAATTCATTTCGGAATGGCAGGAAATAAATTCAAATGGCCGGTAAGGGTTGGCGGAGGATGAGAGGATGACGACCTTCCGGAAAATGTTTGAAATGCAGACTCTCTCTCTCTCTCTCTCTCTCTCTCTCTCTCTCTCTCTCTCTCTCCACTATCTTTTATATCCCTGCTCCCTTTATTTACAGTATTATCCGCATCAGAGGATATCCATTCCCATCATTCCCCTCTGTCCAGCTGTTCATTCTCATTCTCTGTACCCATTTGTAACACCCCATGACCACCTAATTCGACACTCATGATATCACATTCTCCCAGCATTCTACACTTATGACTTCCAACCCCCCCCCCTGCCTCTGCGTCCTCGGCATTCCTCTCATTGTCACCCCCATGACCTCCAACCACCACCACCACCACTTCACTTGGCAGCCTCACCCCCATCACTTTATATATAAGGTTCCCCATTCATCTGAGACTCAAGCTTTCCAGAGTCTCCCCTACACTACACAGCCACATCCATTCTCTCTCTCTCTCTCTCTCTCTCTCTCTCTCTCTCTCTCTCTCTCTCAGATCTACGGCCATGATTCTGGCTCCGTCATAAGACCAAACTGACCTCTTTATTCTGCCTTTCTCCTCCAAAATGGCAGTAAATTTTGGCGTGTGCGTGTGTGTGCATGTGTGTGTGTGTGTAATAATAATAATAATAATAATTAACGGTTTATTGAAAGAGCTTGACAGCCAGAAGGCTGAAAATATACAGCTACATATTTGGGGAATGGGTTACGAATTACAAATAATATACAAGTAACATAAGTGATACAAATAAGATATATAATAACTAGATGGGGAAAAGCTCAAACTACAGTGCATTTCAACTTAGTGACAGTGCAAGAAGTAGTGTGTGTGTGTGTCACTCTCTCACTGACCCCTCTACCTCGTGTATACCCAATGGCATGGTTCCAGCAGCAGCCGCAGCCCACTTCACCTGCCACCTCAAGTGTAAATGATTACCCCACCACGAGTTACCAGGACACTCTACGTCCCCCCTCGAGGGCAACACACGTGCTCTTCCCCTCCTTAAGCGTCACCACCAGTAAGTATATCTCCGACCGATACTAAATCCATCTCACTATTGTTCACTGATTTAAGTGATGGGAAACAATGTGAGAATTACCTCTTAACAGGTCTTTGGATGAGAAAACTAGTGTCTCAACAAATCCAACATGACCCTAAGACCTACCAGTTGGATGCCTCAACAATACTTAATATCAATGCGCGTTTCCCCCCACGGGTACCAACCACACATCTCTCCCCCACGGGTACCAACCACACATCTCTCCTTCCATGGGTACCAACCACACATCTCTCCCTCCACGGGTACCAACCACACACATCTTCCCCCTATAGGAACCATCCGTTTTCCTCCCCCTACAGTGGCCACCTCGACTGACGCACCAATACAGACAAGCAGTTAATCCCGAGCGTCAGGAGGTGATCAGCGGTGGCAGGTGGTGGGTGTCGACCAGGTGAATAACGAGAAGGTAGTGAGTGACGGGTGGCGTGTGACGGGCAGCGTGGGTCGGCCGTCACCACCACCCATGGGCTCTACAACAACCCACGGCAACATCGTCACAGGTAATGAATTTGGAGGCCAGGTGTGTGTGTGTGTGTGTGTCAGGAGGACGTCACCGCGTGTCCACACTAGCCAGCCACTGACCACACACACGTGCACCAGCTCCTCACATTGTTCTCATCACCG